CAGGTCACCCAGCGCATGAAGTAACTCTTGTTTGCATTTGCCACATAGCTCACAAAGCAGATAGACTTTTCTGACAATTTGCCAAACAATAATTTGCATGAAATTTAGTGAATACTTCTTGTCTGAAACTAAAGAGAGGAAAATAGACGCATATGGCTGCAAAGAGAGGAGACAGTTTCACTTCCACAGGGATGTATGTCTCCAAGCCTGGACGTCTTTCATCTCCTGCTCTGCCAGTATGGGATTTGGATCCACCAGCTCTGACTTTGCAAGGAATAATTAATGTTCACTAAAGTAAAGATGGGAACCCAATGCCCGGTGAGCGCTGAACCCACCAGACTAGGTTCATTCTCACTAGGTTTCTCCAAGTCTCAGAAAATATTTTTGCATCTGTCTAACATTAGTAAAGCAGGTTTTTTGAGCATCGCTTGGGAAAAAGGCAAGATGGTCCTGCAAAGACCTTGCAGAGGTTGCACACACCACAGAGGAGCTCTGCCCAAAATTGCTCAGTTGTTTGCTTGGCCATCTTGGAAAGGAGGATAAATGAACACCTAGCAGCTCTTTTGGATGAGGACACTTGGGAAGATAATACATTTTGCTGCATGACACTAAATTGCACAATTGCCAGAATCAAGCAAGCAAAGTCATCCTGTTTTCCCAAAAGCTCTTCTCTTCCTCTAATTACATTTAAAATGTTTTGCATGCCATTGAAAATGTCACTTCCAGCTGTGGGAACATTAAGGAACCTACGTGGTATAGCCATGGGTTTTATTAGGGCAGGCTTGCTGATGGGGGTTTTGATGGCAGCAGAACAGGACAGGAATGAAGTACCTTTTGTTCCAAACAGTGAACACTAGTTATAGTGATCGGGGATCATCCACAAAAGCACAGCAGTGAACAGGCTATTTTAAAGACCAAGACCTTGTACAATCAAGCAGAGATTGCTCTGATGTTTCCTGTTTCTTCCCTCCTGGGGGGGGGATAAATGGAGGTCCAATTTAGCCCTGGGGTCACCGTTTTCCAAGGCATTTGTGCTGCTGATTTGAGTCTGAGTCCTTGTGCTCCTGGTGCTATTGGTCAGGATGCCCAAGGGCAACAAAGCAGAGTGGCTCTGGCCACGGTGCAGACAGTGGAAGTTGAGTGATGGGGCAACCTTTTACAGTGGATCAGGATCCACCATCCAGCAGGATCCCAACTCCCAGGGGAAGCTCTGGGACCTTGAGGAGCCGTTGTTGCTCAGATCCTCCAGTTTCTCCTGCAAAGCCAGGCTATGCTAGCAGTGGCAGGGACTAGGAGAGGCTCTTGACCCTACTGTGCCCGCGCTGCCTTCATGGTCCTCTCCCTCCCCCCTTCACTGTCATCCAGTCCATAAAACAGTCTGCCCCAGGGCTTCGGGCCTCCTGAGTCACCTCCACATGGAATGTAGCTCCCTGTTCTGTCAGTTCTCAAGTGCTGTAACATGTCTCAGCCCAGTACGCTGCAAAGGCCGTGCAGGAGCAGAAAGTTAAAATAAGGCTACAGCCTGAAAGTGGGCTTTTTGAAGTGTTTCTGCAGTGTTGTTTGCATTTCCTTCCATTGTTGTGCTCACAGGCACGCGGAGCCAGAGCAACTGAGTGAAACTAAGTCAGATTCTGTGAATCACTGGGTTTAGCATTTTTTTCTAGTCCTATACAAAAGACCAGTGTGTCAAACAGAATAATTTCTTCAGTCCTGAACAAATCTTCCTATCTCCCCCCATCAGCTTTAGAACAGTTTAATGCTGTGGCAGTGAAGGCCTAGATGTGAGAACCTCACGTAGAGCTGGGGAAGATAAATGGGGGCAGCAAGATGTGCTGCCCTGCCTGTAGCCAGTACAGCATTCACCTGGGATGGATTCATGTCTCTCCAGAAATGAAAAGAGGTATAAGATACTTCCACAGCTTCCAGATCTCTCAGTGAAATTTAAATTGCTAAACATCAAGAAGAAGAAGGAAAAAAAAAAAAAAAAAAAAGGCTGATTCTAAGATTCTAACAGCAGGGAGGAACTTGTTTAAAGCAGAGAGGAGGACGCTTTGAAGCAGTGACCAGCCAGCTCCTTACCTTGCACTACCCTGCAGTAAGGGGCATCCTGCTGGGTTTTGCTTTCAGGGTTGACACCCTGACAGAGTCCAGAGCTCATTCTTTAAATAGCCCTTAGCTGATAGAGGCCTCTTTTGCAGGGAACACCAGGAAAAGCTACACTTTGCCCTTGCTTTGCTTTCAGCTCCAATTGGCACTGGAAATTCAGTACTGGCCCATCTCACCCCGTGACAAAAGTGCAAGTTTCTGTGGCAGCTCTCATGATGAAGGGCTGCTGAGACCAGGCTAGAGAAGAGGCTGTAGAGGAAGAGGGATCAGGGCTGAGACCACTAATTTATTTGCTCCCAGGCTGCAGCTGTCGGTCTCTCTTGCTGAAGAGGGAAGGCATGTTTTCTGTTTTCATGCAGTACTGTTTTAACTAAAGGCTCGATGGAAGCAGAGCACTCTCCTGAATATCCTGTAGAGGCATTCATTGAGCTTAAATGGAAATGAGCCTGCCAGGAAGATTCACGGCTGACACCACCAGCATGTTCAGAATAAATTTCCAAACAGGCCCAAGGAGTGGGTTGCTCAGGCCAGAACATGGTGAGAGCCTAGGGGAGCTTGAGCAGATCTGCCCCAAGGCGTTAACTGGTGAGGATTGGAAAGGGTGCTGTGTGCCAGCCCACTCAAACCCCTCTGCATGCCTTGGTCCTGCTGTTGAAGTTGGGACATGAGAGTTTGAGCATACCATGGTTGAGCATCCCACAACCATTTGTCTGGTCCTTGGTATTTGCAAAGGTCTTGTCATTGGCACGTGGCACTGTCCTCCCAGGAGAGAGATACACGGACACTCTGGAGCAAGTGTAGGGACAAGAAGATGATAGAGGGTTTGGAGCATCTCCCATATGGAGAGGTGTTTAGCGGGATGGAGCTGTTTAGATGGGAGCAGAGAACCCAGGAGGATCTTATCAATGTATATAAATAGCTGATGGGGGCAGGGTGTAAACAAAACAGAGCCAGATGCTTCCCAGTGGTGCTCAGGGACCATAGACAATCTCCAGAAGTGCCTTCGAACCCCAGAGATTTAAGGAATTACTTAAGTGGGAATTTAAGGGGTAAGCAGGGTATTTGGCTGAGGACTGTGCTTTGTAGTGGGTGATTTCCTATCTGGAGAGGGTTTGGGAAGCCAGGATACCCAGCAG